CATATTTTGTCCAAGTTAAGTCAAAGAATTCGTCTTCCTACTAGCCAAATTTAACTCAAAGTCAAGCACTTTCTGAGTTTCTAGACCCATTTGAGCATAGCGAGCCGAACTAAGCGCAATAGAGACTAAAAAACAGGGGAATTTTCCAAAAATCGCCCAGTCCAAACCATGAGCACTGGATATTTCATATTCTGAGTATGTTAAGTCAAAGTATTCGTCTTCCTACTAGCCAAATTTCACTCAAAGTTAAACACTGTCTAAGTTTTTATACCTATTTGAACATATGCGAGCCGAACTAAGCGCAGTAGAGACTAAAAAACAGGGGAATTTTCCAAAAATCGCCCAGTCCAAACTGTGAGCACTGGAAATTTCATATTTTGAGAGCCTGAAGCAAACACATCAAGGTCCCTATGGGCCAATTTCCACATAAATCTAAGCATTTTCCGATTTTTCAGGAGCATCTAAGTATGAACCTTGAGTGGCCCTGAGGCCTCGCCGACCTCAAATCCCCAGCAGTGCTGGCACAAAAGGTGAGTAGGACTTTTATTGAAGATACAGACGCCCTATAGGGTGAATTTAACCCTTAATTTGACCATTTCAAGCTTTGAACAACGCAAAAAGCGGTTCAAAAGCGAAAAATTTAATAACGCAAATTCCCTTCCACCCCAAAAATACAGCGCGATTCTTTTGCAGCAGGAAAATGCCAAAATCTAAGCCAGCCAAAAAAACATCCGACTATTCCTTTGAGGACCTCAATCGGGACCTGGTGCAACTAGATCAGCTTCTCAGCGCATCCCATGTCAAACCACGTGACCGATTGGCGATGCTCCGTCCAATCACAGCCAAGATGCCAGGCAAACCCGTCGGCTATTGGCTGATGCGGCTGGTGCCGCTGATGATGATCATAGCGATGGTGTGGATGAAAAGAGAAACGTTGGACTGGCACGCTTCCGCCCTGGGCAGGATCGGGCTGATTAAACTCCTGCCGTATTTCGACTGGCGGTACCTGAAGAGTCAGACTTGTTTGATACCGAAAGTGGCGCTCGTTGCACCAAAGGAAATTTTCGACTGTAATCTGTGCGAGTCGTTGGAGGAATTTCGGGATTTTGAGCTGCAAAGCGAAGAAGGCGGTGCTGATTTGGTGGAAAAACTGGTCGAAATCGATCGGCCCGTGCTGGTTTCTGGGGAAATCCAGCACTGGATTCCCGACAGTCCAGCAGCGTTCATCAGCCAATTGCTGAAGAGGGCGGAGTTTCGTAAATCCGTGCCCTGCCAATTGGAGAGCAGCTTCCACAACGATCGACTGGGCGATCCGGATCTGGCAACACTGTTCCGGAAAAGACAGCTTTTCCAGAGCTTTTTCCTGCACTTCCAGAACTGCGACCCGTCGGCTGTTAGAGCGTTTCGGAACTTCACCGCCCGCCCTCAGGTTTTACCGGCAGCGCTTGCGCCAGTCGCGTACAGCTGGATGCTGTGGAACAGCCGCTACAGCACTTTGCGCTACAAGAAGATCAACCTGATCGAGAAAATCGCCCTGATTGGCCAACTGGTTGGCAGCACTCGCTTGCGATTGGTGCCCAGGAAGAACTGCCAGGAAGTGTGCCCGATTATTAATGGCGTCCTGTCTGCAGGACACGTGCTGATCCTGACCAGTTTGTGGGACGTTGAGTACTGTCCGGGAGGGGACAGTGAAAATATGGCCGCCATTCTCGAAGTGAAGGGCTAGAAGTCCAAGGTGTCCCACTTAATACAATTAAAGGAATGTGAAGGTTTTTCCATACAGTTTACTGGGTTATTATGTTCGAGATTTCCCGAAGGCCCTTTACGGACTTCTGACTGTCCAAAAGCCCTGAAAGACCATGTCTTTACAATTCTTCGACCAGGGGATTATAGTTTGTCTCTGTTTTCGACAGTTTAGCACATCATTTAAACTGTTTTCTCTTTTTCCTTCCGGGATACAATGAAGAAACTTTAAATTGACCATTCGAAAGCCCACATCATAAAAGTCCATGGGTGTAGCTTCGTTTAACTAACCCTTAGAAAAATGGGTCGAAAGGCAATAAATAAAATTCTTTCACAATATTTGGAAATTGACTGTAATGAATTTGAATAAGTTATTTTTTGGCTTCCAGCACCTCAAACCAAATGTTGTAGATACATTATTTATGGAGCATCGAAAATAGAGACATTTAGCTTTATGCACGCGAAATTTCAATATAGTCCGAGCACTTTCCGAATTTTTAGAGCTTTTTGAGCAGGAGGGTGCGAAATAGGCACCAAGACTTATGGTCTCTGTCTAAATTTCCAAAAACCGCTCACCTCAAGCGGAAAACAGTGGACATTTTATAGACGACAATCAGAGGCTTTCAGCTCTATGCAAGCAAAATTTTAGTTAAATCTGAGCGATCATTGAATTTCTAGAGCGATTTGAGTATGAGCTTATCTTAGAGACTTTCACAGAAAAATTGATAAAATCGCCCACCTCAAGTGAAAACTAGTGGACAGTTGATACTCTGTGTACAGTTTCTAAAGGCTTTCAGCTCTATACAAGGAAAATTTCAGTTGAATCTGGAAGCTCACTGATTTTTTAGAGCCATCTGAGTATGAGAGTGCGACATAAGCACTGTGGAGACTTACACAAAAAAATTTAAAAAATCGCCCACCTCAAGCGCAAATTAGTGGACAGTTGATACTTCGTGTACAGTTTCTAAAGGCTTTCAGCTCTATACAAGGAAAATTTCAGTTGAATCCGGAAGCTCACTGATTTTTTAGAGCCATCTGAGTATGAGGGTGCGAGATAAGCACTGTGGAGACTTACACAAAAAAATTTAAAAAATCGCCCACCTTAAGCGCAAATTAGTGGACAGTTGATACTTTGTGTACAG